TGATTGATCGTTAAAAACTTGTTTGTTGTAAAATTCGACAATGTTTTCGTATAAATAAAAGAAGAGGATGGTGAAGTAACAATCGTTTAAAATGTAAATGTCTTTTATCCAAGAAAGGTCTATCCAAATGAAGCATCGAAGGAAAAGAGGGAAATAATAAAAATAATAAAAAATCGCGTGGAATATCGATTGCGTTACAATCTTTCTTCGATATCGCGTATAATATTCGACGTATAATACGATATAATATCGTACGTTTGACGAACGAAAGATGAAGGAACGCGAGGAGAAAAGGAAAAAGGAATTACATCGATTATAGATAATTGTAATGGAAATATTCGAAATATAATGAAATTCAATCGCAAATGACTAATAGCATTCGATGGATTATTATTTTCAAATTAATCGATCGGTTGCTATTAATCGGACTTAGAATTTAGGTTATGGTTGATTTGATTAATTGTTGTATTAATACGCGTATTAATCGGCTATTATGTACATTGTTATTGGCCAGGATAATTATTAATGGCTTTGAAGTTAAATGGATTCGATGTTGTTTTATTTTTATTGTAATTTATTTTATCTATAATTTGTACGTATATTATTATACGGTATTAAGTTGATGTCACGTCAAAATTTAATATATAAATTTAATTGAAAACTTGGTTGCTCTCTCTGTAACAGATCGAATTTTGTCTTTAACGAGAATTGATCCATCACTGTCTACTTTCTGGACAAAATGGCGAGAATTTAATTTAATAGTTCAAATATATTGCATTGTAATCAAATTAAAATTGACATTCCATAAAGGAATATTTCATTATAAATTATTTCGATACAAATTTTAATTTCGTTACAAAAGAAGAAAAAAGGAAATAAAATATACATAATACGAATCATTTCATACGCTACAATTTAGCGTGATTTAAATTCGACTCGACCATCGTTTAAGATTTATTTTATTTTTAGATTGTATTCTTTTCTTAAGTGAATTGATTACTTAAAATTAAGTCGTTAAAAATAAATGAAATGGAGAAAAATAATAGATACGTGTATTTAATTTATACCGATAAAAAGAAATTATACACGAAAAAGAAATCAATTCCAAATCGATATAAATACAAAAGCACGAACACGTATAAAGAAAATCTTCTATTTGAATTTATCCATTACGCAAATTTAATTTTAAAGAAATACGATTTTTAGAAATAAACCGCAATTTGATTTGATATACTCAAATAGAGAAAGAGAAAAAGAGAGAAGCAATTATTAAAATTTGCAACTGGAATATAAACACTGATAAATTTCCATATGATATTTTAATTAGATCTTAATTCGAATCACTTGAAAAATTCGTTAATTCGATTTGAATTATCGTAGTTTTCAATACTTGTCGCGTAAAGAAGATATTAATTTTAACAATATCGATATATTTGATTTATATTTGAAACGAAAGATAATTAGAAAAGGTAGAAATAAATAATAATATAAAAGATTGGATTATAAGGAAGAACGCTTTACCTGTACGTAACAAGATTGAATTGAATTCTAATTAGGTAATTATATTAATGAATAATCAGTACATCGGCGGAAAATTAGTCAGTTTCATTTAGGTAATCGAATATATTTCAATTATATCGTTTCATCGAGATGATCATGCTTAATTAAATTTCCAATTTAAATATCGATATAAAAGTATTACGATTATTTCCAAGATATTCCGTTCGATAATATATGATACGCGATCATCGTCAGCTCTCACCGAAAAAACATTTCTATCGCGATGACCGAATTTTTTTTCGAGAAGCATCGAATCGACAAAGTAACGTCGCT